GTATATAGTGTGAACACGTATCTTTGTCCTATCCCATTCGCTGATTTCCTAACTTTTAAAATGGAGTAGTGTTATAAAAATAATTTTTTTTATATAATTAAATAAATAAATATATTTAATATTATAAATTTTATATAAATTAAAAAATTAATTATTTTAATAATACATCTAATTATATTAAAAAAATTATACAAAAAAGCATTTCCTACCATGCAGACAAAATGCAGGTTGACGATGCATGATTGCTGGGAAACCCCAATAAATCATTAAGAAAAAAAAAGAAGCAAAATTGCAAAATAAACCAAATTCTACATCACACGGCACCACAGGCTCCCACCAACACTCGTCTCATCGCCTTCACCGTTTTGACGCCTTAGACGTTGAAAGAGGCGGCTGAGCTCTGCTTTACGCCGGCCCCGCCACTGTTCAGCTAAAAAGAACCCAACGACCCTCAACTCCTCCATGAATCGTTTTTGTCTCTGATGTCACTTCTTCCCCACCTCCTCCTTTTCTTTCTTATCCTCGCTTCACCTTCTCTTGCCCAGCTTAACTCCACCGCATCATGCCCCCTTAACTTCTCCATCCTCAACCCCCTCGTCACCGCCTCCAAGGGCGCCACCGTCAGTCTCTATGAAAAATGCCGGAACATTATCCAGGGGTTGCGTCTCGTGAAGTCCTCTTACCTTCAGCTCACCAACTTATTCGCCCCGCCGCTCAACTCGTCAGAGGCCTGCTGGCAAGCTTACCAGGATCTCATAGCGCCGATCCTGCCTGATTTTGATATCCGGAAATCTTGTGGCTTCCAGACGGATTGGATCTCTGAGGGGTGTATGAACATCACCACCAAATCCCAATTCGAAGCCCAGGTTCCCAACTCTACCTTGCAAACAGTGTTTACGAATTGTAATCAGTCGCTGTTAAATGGGTCGCCCTGTGCCTTGTGTACGCAGACGTTGGGGAGCTTGCAGGCGTCTTACTTGTTGGGTCAGTCGATTGGGAATCTCTCCGATTGCACGGCATATCCTTCCATTTACGCGGCGGGGATTGTAAATCACTTGGGGCCTACCGACAGAGGTACTGAGATGTGTTTGTTTGGGTTTGATTTCTCTGGTAATAGCGGTGCTCGTAAGAACAAGAATGTCGTGATTTTGGTTGTTTTGATTGTCGGTGGTGTTGGGTTGGTGGTGACCATTGGTGGGGGTTGGTTTATTTATAGAAAGTATAAGGATTTAAAGATTAAAAAGATGAGACATGAAGTCAGGAATCTTGAGATTGGATTGGGGTCAATTAGTGAGAGTACTACCTTAGTTAAATTCACGTTTGATGAGATTAGGACGGCAACTAAGAATTTCTCTAGGGACAGCATAATTGGGAGAGGAGGGTATGGAAATGTGTACAAGGGTGTCTTGCCAGATGGCTCTGAGGTTGCATTGAAGAGGTTCAAGAACTGTTCTGCAGCTGGAGATGCAAATTTTACCCATGAAGTTGAGGTTATTGCTAGCGTAAGACATGTCAATCTTGTTGCTTTGAGAGGGTATTGTACTGCTACAACTCCGTTAGAGGGTCATCAGAGGATAATAGTCTGTGACTTGATGAAGAATGGAAGTCTCCATGACCATTTATTTGGATCCATGGAGGGGAGACTTAGTTGGCCCATACGTCAACAGATTGCACTAGGGACAGCAAGGGGGCTGGCCTATTTGCATTATGGGGCACAACCAGCAATCATCCATAGAGATATCAAAGCAAGCAATATACTTTTGGATGAGAAATTTGAGGCCAAGGTGGCTGACTTTGGACTTGCTAAGTTTACTCCTGAGGGGATGACACATTTGAGCACAAGGGTGGCTGGAACAATGGGGTATGTTGCTCCCGAGTATGCATTGTACGGGCAATTGACTGAGCGTAGTGATGTTTACAGCTTTGGTTGTGTTCTTCTTGAGTTGTTGAGTGGAAAGAAAGCTCTTGTCATGAATGATGAGGGCCAACCTAATCTTGTGACTGATTGGGCATGGTCATTGGTAAGGAAAGGGAGAACTTTGGAGGTAATCGAAGATGGTATGCCAGAGTTAGGTGCACCTGAAGTTCTTGAAAAGTATGTGTTGGTTGCTGTTCTATGCTCTCATCCACAGTTGTATGCTCGGCCAACCATGGATCAAGTTGTGAAGATGTTGGAAACAGACTTGTCAGTTCCCTCAATCCCAGAGAGACCAATGCCTCTGGTAGCCGAGATTGATGACATTGAGAGGTCTGTCAGTAGTTGTGGATCAGGTCAGCTCTCGAGTCCTTCTGGGTACCAGGCATTTATGTTTGATAATGATCAACCTTCTAGTAGCAAGGAAGGAGAGACAAGTTCAGGCTCTTGAATAGAAGTGCTGTGATGTACACAGCCTTATAATAGAGGATTATTTAAACTCTAATGGTGCCTCCACTAATTGGTATGCTCTCCCCATTTTATCTATTGCTCAGATTTTCATGCTTCCACAATTCAGAATAGTCTCTGTTGTTGTAAAGATAAAATAGATGCATGATTAAGTTAAATTCTTTTGAACTCATAGATCACCAAGAGCAACTGGTTACATATTTGTAAATATGAGTGATGTAACGTATTACAATTTACAACTTTCTCTATCATGGCAATGATTTTGTACTAGGTAAAGTGGAAATTGATAAAAGTTTAGTTTTTTCTACTTGTTTATCATGTGCACGGGATATTTGTAAGTTCATTGCAAGGATTTGACTTGTGAACCTCGTTGCTTCATTCAGAGCTTTTTGGATCTCGGTAGTATATTGCTCCTACCTTAAGAGATATGGTAGATTTCAACATACTCTCTTCTTTATTAGCTGTTGATGTTGCTCGACTTGCCTACGGAATCTTCTGAACATGATGATCTCGCTCGCAATCTCCTTCTTGGTTCTCATGTCTGATTATCCGCTCTCCCTATCTGTTATTATATATATATATATATATATATATACATCGTCGCCCTTTTTTTTCATATTACTATTATTTTTCACCGGGGAGGCTTAGCTTTTCTTTCTCGTCTAAAAGAGTGTTTGGTATAGGTTGAAAAGTGCTTTGCTTTGTTTTAAACTACTGTTTTTCTCTTATAAATTTAAAATTTTACTCAAAAAATTTAAAAATTGTTTTTTAAAATGAATTTTAAGGAAGTTTTGAAAAAGTTTAAATGCATACTTTTTTTAAAATTTACTTAAAATTCATTTAAAAAGTTAAGTTTATTATTTTTTCTCAAATAAAATTTTAAATTTACGAGAAATAAATAGTATTTTTAAAACAAATACTTTTTAACCTTTGGAAAACACTTTCTCTTTTTTTAGTAGTATTCCTTGGTATTAATTAGTTTCATTAAATTTTGATTAATTTAAAATTGAATTACATTAATTGGATTCTTTAGAAAAAAACTCTCCCAATGCTTATATGCCGTACGTTAACATGATTAACGTGACATAATTTGCATTGCAGGTGCTTCGCCTTTGCTCGCATCAGTTCCTATTTTGCTAGAATTTCAAACAATCAAAATAATTGCTGCAACAATTCTCTGTAAAACCTTGTTGAGAAACTCTTCTGGGGATCTTGTTTGGAGAAAAATCAGTTCTTGATATGCGAGGAGGATCGTCTAATGTTTTTCTGGTTGTAATCAAGGAAGCTTGGAAATTAAACATGCTAGGTACACGTTTTGTGTCCCGGAGACACCTCAAGAGCACACACGAACATGGTGAGTGGGTGATGGAGTTGAAGTTGTGGAAGAATCTCACATTGGAGGGATAAAAAGAGAGTAAGTGGTTGAATATGAGGAGACTCATGAACCTAATACATTAGTCTACACATACATTAGTCTTGGAGGAATATAAGGGCTCAACATGTGGGTCAGTTCAGCTCAATACCTTTGGGGAACCTAAATTCCTCTGGTAGCTTAAATTGATGACATTGAGAAATCTGTCAGTAGTTGTGGGTCAGGTCAGCTCTCCAGTCCTTCTGGCTATCAGGCATTTATGTAGGAATATGATTGACATTCTAGAGGTAAGGAAGGAGAGACAATTAAGTTCAGGTTTTTGAAGAGAATTGTTGTGATCTACACAGCCTTCTGTTGAAAACAGGATTATTTGAACTCTCTAATGGTGCTTACCCTAAATGGTATGCTCACCTCATTTCATGCTTCCACAATTCAGAATGGTCTAAGTTGTTGTAAAGATAAAAATAGATGTATGATTGAGTGAGAATCTTTTGAACTCAAAGAGCATAAGAGCAATTGTTTCATATCTGTAAATACAAGTGATGTAATGTGTAGGAACTTTCTCTATCATGGAAATGATTTTGTTGGAGATATAACGCAAATCGATGAAACTTAAGCTTTTTTCTACTTGTTTATCATGTTCATGGGATAGTGGTCTTGTAAGGTAACAAGAATTTGACTTGTGAACCTTGTCGCTTCATTCAGGCCTTTTGAAAGTCTCTTGCTATTACTTTAAAGACTTCTAGAGGATATCCATTTGAAATGCCATTTGAGTGTTACATTCACTCAACAGAGAGGACAATTCGTTCTCCCCTTTTTCTTTTTTTTTTTTTTTGTGACATTGTAGCAGTTTTTAGCAGGAACAATGGCGGATTAGGGCACTAGGTTGGGAAGTAAGTGGGTAATGTTGCTCCTGCACACTCTGTATGGTCAAATAGAGATCACAAGTTTTTATAGTTCTAGTTGCTGTGTTCTTGGGGTTGGGCGTTGGAAGAATACCTCTTCCAGAACCTGAATTTCCGATGGAGCTGACCACTTCGGATAAGGCTGCAGGGCATGGTACAGAGAGTTAGGCCAGCAACAGGATGCTGTAGTAGACTTGACAATTTTTTACCCAGTCGGTTAACTTGTTCATTATTTGTCGGTTTAAAATGGGTTATGATAAGATATTTATGACTCGTGATCTATTAATAACTCGTTAAAAGAACTCGATAAGTCACGGGTCAATAATGGGTTGATTCATCGAATTAACGGGTTTAACCTGTTTACTCATTTAAAAGTTAAAAATTTATTATTTATTTATTTTGTTTTCCAACTTCCAATCCCACTTAAACCTCTAATAATTGACTAATTTTATCTAATTAACTAATTGATTCTTTTAGCAAAAATAAGTGTGCGGTGTTAGTGTTGTTCTTTGAAGGAAAGTGGAGAAGGTAATTTTGAGGAATTATAAATATGTTCTATTAAATTAATGGGGGGAAATCTTTTTATAAGATATTGAATTTCATTTTTAAATCTTATGAATAATTTTCTTTGGATGATAATAGATACAAATTATAGAAAAAAAAAATTCAATTGGATCAATGAATGGATTAAGATTAGTCTTCATTGACCTGTGATCCATTTGACCCGACCTTGACTTTGACCCAATTTCCAACCCACATGTTTGCCAAGTCGCATGAGGCATTCGTATCTCTCAATGATACTCGTTCTTTTGCCATCCTTGTTCTAGATTAGACTAGCCGCTAATAAGATTCTGAAATGCCCAAAGAGTTCTCAGGAATTTGAAGCTGTACACACTGAGAAATCTGTATATGGTGGTGCTGTAGATGTTTAGTTTGCTTACTGTCCATATTTTATGTATGTAATGATGTCTAGTGTTTTTCTGTTGTAATCAAGGAAGCATGGAAATTAATCCTTTACTTGCTAAGTACATGTTTTGCTCATGCCATAAATATCTTAGTCCACTCTCCACATGATACCAGGATAATTAGACTGACATTTCGTTTGTACACTCTCTTATGCAGTTTAACTATTTGTAAGCCTGGAGTTTCGTTCCTGTAAAACTATGGACAAGAAGAAAAGTAAACCTAATCCTAACAAAATTGCAAAAAACCCAGAACAGATGTGACCCTTGCTTTATATAATGAGTCTTCTGTTTTGTAGTCTATGTGATAAAATAAGAACTATTAGATGGGAGGACAATTCTAATATTGAGAGATTTGCTTTTATTTAATAGTTTAGATTATATAATTTAATATAATTTAAATTATATAACATCATTTTAAATAAATAATTCTTTTTTATTTTGGCAAAACCATATAAGTTAAGCCCCTAAACTAACCCTAGAATCGCTATTAAAACCCCAAATTTTAATTGATGCATATAAACTCCTTAAACTCTACAATCTAAGTAATTTAACTCTTACTATCATAGTCAACTTAACTGCCATTAATTACCATTAACTGCCGTTAATTTCTGTGCAAGGATTGCCTAGTGTGGCGAAATATGGCCGTCTCATGCCTATGTGGCAAGGGATTTGTCATTTTGTTTGTCTACCATATGCAAAAGAAAAAAAATCATTTAGGAACAAATTTTTTATATTATTTTTTGTATGATTTTAAATATTATTTAAATAATTAACTCTTTTTATTCATGAGTTTGTTTAATTTATGCCCCAAGGATATAAATTAAAAATGTTATAAATACATTTTTTTGTAATCAATTTATGTTAAAAAAATAAAAGTTAACCTTTCATTTTTTAACTATCTAATTAAATTCATCTATTTAACATCAATACTAAAATTAATATCAATTTTTATATTTTTTATATACATTTATAATAATAAAAAAAAACCCTTAACCTATGCCCTATTAGAAAAACATTTTATTTATTTGAAATCTGTGATATTAAATATATTCACTTATTTAATAATATTAGAAATTTATATAAAAAAGTTGTAAAAAAATAATTGTCCTCATATCACAAAAAAAAAAAAAAATATATATATATATATAGTCCCTATTTCACTTGAGACTTCCTTTTATGTTTTCTTTTCTTTTTTCTTTTTTTTTTTTTTTTTGGATGATAATAAGTACAAATTATAAAGAAAAAAAAAATTCAATTGGATCAATGAATATATTAGAATTAGTCTTTATTGACCTGTGACCCATTTGACCTGACCGTGACC